GAACCCGAGGTCACAGGACAATATAAATTACATAATCGGACTCAGCATTGAATGGACTTTCATATCCAATTAAAAAATCCCGAGTGCCAGCTTAGCCAGATCCTGACAGTCTTCTTATATTTACTAGGATTACAAGATTTATTTTTAAAAGTAAATTTAAATGAATTTAATCTTGATGAACTGTACAGTACATTGAGTACACATTAATACGCCTAAAGGCTATTACATTTTGTTACTGATAGTAATTATTTATTTTAAAGTTATCTATTATAACTATTGTACCTAAATTTAACTGTAAAATCGCTATAGTTTTAATTTTTATTAATTAAAGCCTTGAAGTATTTACTATAAAAGTCCCAAAAAACTTTTACAGTAAAAGGCATTAAGTGAATTTTATAATAATTATTAAAATTAAACTAAATTTCAGTTTAATTACTTAACTTGGTAAAAATGACTGATTTTAGCGGCAAATTCAAACAGACCTCATCCGACAATTTCGATGCCCTTCTCAAACATGTTTGTCTTACGAAACAGATCTTGTTTTAGTTTTTCCAGATTATTCATATTATTTAAGTTTTATTTATAATAACATAAATTAGTTTATAATATTAAATTAACATTTATAAATATGTTTAAAATAAAATTTTAAATTTAATACAAAACAATATTTATGCGCTAAATAGGAGCTCCCGATCATGTGATCGATGAAGTCAAGTCTGTAACACAGCACCTGGAGATCAGTAAATCTGGTAATGTCTACACCATTAAGACGGTCTCTCCCAACCAGACCCGGGAAATACAATTTGAATTGGGAAAGGAGTTCGACGCGCAGACACTTACCGGTGCTAAACCCGTAATACCTTTTATACCTTTAATATTAAGCATAAATATTATATTAAATTTAAATTTTCTTGTGTTTCAAGTCAGTTGTAGTTTTGGAGGGCAATCGACTCATACAGACAGTGAAAGGGGAAAGGGAGATTACAATTGTGCGCGAGTTTAACGGTAATGAACTCCGGGTGACCACCACTTCGGGACCAGTAGTAGCGGTGCGCACCTATACTCGACAGTAGACCACATTATACATAATTTATGAATCATGAACTACTGTTGACAGCAATTAAAATTATAAATTATAATGGTTTTATGTAATTGTCAAATATCAAATGTTTAAAAATACAACCATGTTTCTAATTTATTTGAGATGCCTATGTTATAATTAATCTAATAAAAGTATAATAGTTAGGTATATATTTTTATGTTTAGAAATAAGCATGTATAAATATTGTAAACTAATATGGTGTACCAATTAATACATCCCAAGAGTGTACAGATGTCCTGTCTCATTCTACCTGCAATAATGTACCGGTACATCAAAAGGGGAATTGAGTTCAATTTAATTTATGACAGATACATATTGTTTTAAAAAGATACATAGTCATTTGTCACAGAATTATAAACCGGAATTTAAATTTAATCTAAATTATATAAAGAGCGTTATTTTGTAAATTACCAAAATATTTTTTCTATTTTGTCAATAACAATTATATATAGAAATTCAAAATATCTGGCAATTTTAGAAACACTGTCTTATACCGATTGCAGATTTAACCATGAATCTGTAATTTATTTTAATTTGGAAGTGTTGTACAAATAAATTTCTAACTTGTAAGATTAGTTAAGACATAGCAAACATGAAAGCTTACTTTAAACATATCGCCACATTTAATTACAAATTGTCATATTGTTATGTAAATGCACTAAAGTTATCGTTAGTACAGTTATTTGAGTACAAAAACAATAAAACAAATATTATCAGGGAAACTTCTAATAATACACATTAGTCTATATAAGCATATTCTAATCTATACTGTTATATAAATTTTTTTTACTTTTATATAGTTGATGTTTTATTTTATTTTGTTGGACCTACCGTTTGTGTGTCAGTACACACGTAAACCCTTATCCATTGATATGAATATAAACGGAGTCTAAAATTGTTTCATTATTACAATCTAATATTAATATCAAGGTTCAATTCGATAACATGCTGGTCCATTTTAGAAAGCATTGTGTCCAATGCAAACATTTAAGGCTTTTAAATACCCTGATACAATTAATATTAAACATAAGAATATTCTTTGAAAACCTGACAATATTGCATGATTTGAAGGTCAGTGCCATACATATCAGTAGTTTATTATATGCAATAAAATATGGACTTTATTTAATATGTAATATCAATGTCTATTCATTACCAACAGTGATATTATATAAGAAATAATAAAGCATTTTATTCACTCATAAAGCAATAAACTATTTTCAATAATAATGAATCATTATACTGTACTGCATCTACAATGCAGTTTATTGTTTACGAACCTTGGCACTCTATACTGTACACAATGTACACGGAATAACTGCATTAACTACATTTACATAATAAGCAAGTAATGTTATTTAGACTATATCATAAATTACTCAGTTTTTTATCTGAAATTTCATTGCCTAAATATAAACCCAATTACATAATTATGTTCCCGATTACCAAGTTGATATAACATACAGTACAAAAGTTATAATACAATATGTAATATTGTTTAAACAGAATATCCATAGGATATAGACATGACTGAGTGAACAGTTACACTGAATTTGAATGTAAGTGTCGGCCCCTTAACCATACAATCAATTCCTTTATTATAATGAATTAAACGCATGAGTTGTCAATGAGATGACTATATAAAGAGATACTACACTACACCACACTTACTGTAATAAATTGTAATTTCTCACTGAACAGTTTACTTCTTTTTGTTCATTTTATACTAAATTTTACAAATATTTTTAATAAACGATGGCTGACTTCACCGGCAAATACAAGCAGATATCATCTGATAATTTTGGTGCCCTTCTCAAGGAAATGGGTCAGTTTGTTAAATTATATTTTCTTTGTAGATTTTAATAAATTATTTTAATTTATATTTAAATAAAAATCTAACTTTTAACATTTTTTACAAAATTGTCTACATTTATTATCTATAAATAAATTATATTATTTAGTTCATATTTAGCTACAATATTTACTTAATTATATGTCTATTATAGTGACTAAACAAAAATAAATTATTTTTACCTGTATGAAATTGAGAATACCTAAGTATAAAATAGTTTTTAAAATCCGTTTCTAATATTTTATATAAAATCAATATATGAAACAAGTTTACAAGTTTTAATATTAAATATACAAATTTTGTTATCAACAGACATAACATGCTTGTTGATTAAATTGAGTATTATTTAAAAACTATTTATATAATTATATTAGTTTTGAAATTAATATTGAATTAATTATTATACAGCAGAATAAATAATTAAAAGTTTAAATAATGTGTACTGTTTAAATAATTAAAATATTAAAAGTTCTAGAAAATATAGCTGTATGTCTATAAATTGTTATATTATTTGTTTGATAAGATAAAAATTGATCTGAACAATCAAAAAGTATTAAAAGATTAATATCCTACGTATCAATTATCATATAAAATATAAAACAGTACCATAATTTAAGATATCAAAAAGGTGTACTAATTAAATTCATTTATTATAAAATAAATTTTCAACAAAATTATATATCATATGAATAATCAGTAAAACAATACAATCGTCTGTTATCATAAAAACAATTATATTTGAAAACATAGGGGCGACCGACGATATCATAAACAGAGTGGCGAATCAAACACAGGAACTGGAGATCACCAAAAACGGCAATGTCTTCACGTATAAGTCGGTCACTCCGGAGCGCACCCATGAGTTTAGCTTTGAGTTGGGAAAGGAGTTCGACGAGAGTCGCCCCGACGGCAAGACTGTCAAGGTATGCACTCTTACCTATAATTTATAACAAATAAATACAATTCATTAAAATTTTAATATAAATAGGTTTTAATAGTTTTCACATTAAGTTTAAATTAAATTATAATTTTAATTGCAATTTCTTGTTTTGTTGCATAATATAGTCAATAGTCGTGTCGGATGGCAATAAGTGGGTGCAGACAACCAAAGGGGAAAAGGAGCTAAAAGTTGTGCGCGAATTACAGGGCAATGATCTGCGAACCACGGCTACCGTGGGCTCAGTGGTGGCCGTCCGGGTCTACACCAGAGTGTAGGCGCCCACAGATTTTAGGACATTTTCATATATATTTTAGTTTAAATTAAGATTTTAATTACTGTATCGCTAACATTGAATGAAATAAAATATTGAGTATGCAACATGTTTATTTATTAATAACTTTTATAATTAATAATTAAGTTTTATAAAATAACTATTATACTTATAATAGTAATAATTGTATACTAGGCAACATCACACATTTATATTACTTTTTAATGAAACCTTTTGATATACTGTATAATTAAGACGTGAAATTAAAGAACAGTTGTCCCCATCAGCCAACACATTATCACCGGTCATAAATGATGCCTGGTCACTGGACAGGTGCATTATTGCTTTGACAATATACTTTACCCACCATCATCCACTTGGTATTTAAGTGGAATAAATTGTAACAGTTTCTGTTTACAGTATATGGTTATCATTGATACCACAATTTATATACAGTACATTACATATTAGTTTTAACAGTTAATGATAGATCCGGGACAGTAATCATTAAATATAATTTTAAAAATAGTAATTTTATTTAAGTTTAGCACAATCAAATTAAAGTAATAATAATTATTAATAATAATCTCCAACATTTGCTTTATATAATCATTTGTGTGAATTAAAATTGGAATAGAAAATAAATTGTCTTTGCTGATAATCTATTTTAAAAACATTTTATCCAAAGTTATCTATAAATTATTGTATGTTAAAAGGTAACTGAGCCGGCAATGTGTCCGCCGTCAACCAATACACTAGCACCCGTTATAAATGATGCCTGGTCACTGGCCAGGTATATAATAGTATTGGCCACATCTAAGCCCTCGCCCACTCGGCCGACCGGATATTTATTAGCGAATGTTTGGGATATCTGTTGAATAACATCCTCTGAAAAACCACTTCCGGAGTGTATTTTACTTTTTATAAAACCCGGACTATAATTGAATTTTAAAAATAGTATAATATTATACACATTTAATATAATAATTACATATTTTCATAACCTATTTGTTCATTAATACTGTAGTTATACTCACTTAACACTATTAACACGAATGCCTTTGCGTCCTAACTCTGCGGCCATACATTTGGTGAACATATTTATCGCCGCCTTTGACATACAATACGGTGAAAAATCCGGGGTCTATTTATGTCATTTATTTTTTAAAATCACATTTAATTAAGATTATTATTATTAATAATTTCTGTTATACTATTTTACCGCTTGATATGCCGTAACACTGGATGTGTTGACAATAACTCCTTTAGTTATCTCCAAATACTTGATACATAAATGAGTCAAATGAACGGTTGAATCCAAGTTTGTGCTCAAAATGCGTTTATATACAGACATATAATCCGGATCGTTTATATTACTATTCTTTGTGACGCCGGCGTTATTGACCAGAATATCTAACTGTCCACATGTGGTGATAGTGGTGTCCACCAGTCTCTGTAGGTCTTCCTCTTTGGTAACGTCTACCAACACTTCCAATGCTTTCAATGCATTCGGAGATACATTCAGACACTGTTTGGCCACTTGTGTCAGTCCATTAGCATTGATGTCACCGATAACTACCTGAGCGCCAGATCTGGCAAACTCTACGGCAGTGGCGGCACCGATACCCGAACCCCCGCCAGTTATCAACACTACTTTACCCGCAAAATTATATGAAACTGACATAACTTTATATTTAATAAATATAAAATTTGTATAAATAATTACAAACCAATAACTTTATGCTGTATTTATAGTTAATTTGAAGTGAGAGTATCTATCGATAATAAAGTCCACTTGTACTAAATCTATTGAATGTATGATAATTATCAGATTATTTATGCCCTCACTAGTCAGTTTATGATAAAATAAACATGTGTATTTATTTTATATCGTAAAAATATTTAATTAAAATGATTTTCAATGTCATTACTAGTATGTCATAGCAAAATTATAAAATGGCATTGCTAGTTTCTTATAATATAATTAATATAATCTATGAATACAGTATATGTTGTATTGTAGTGTTATATCAACAATAGGAGTTAAAGTCTTTAAAGAAATTGTAAAGAGAAATATTCAGTATATTATACTAGTATGTAATTTTACATTGTAATTAACCTGTTAGTTTAGAAGTGTCCTATGATAATTTACTAGATCTAATTATTTTGTAATAGTCCAGTTCAAATAAATTGTGTAACACTATTAATATTATACAATTGAATGTACAATTGAATTATAAATAAAGAATGCCCATGATTAATGATTATGTTAAAAATATAACACACACAAGTATTTTTAAAGTAAGTTATATTTTACAATATTAAATGGATGCAAAAAATTCTTAAACAATTTATTTGGAAATATGATAAAGTGTTCAAAAATATGTAGTATTACTAGACGTGTCATTACATTATCTTATGGTTCAGCATAATCTATGATAAGGAGTTTTACTTATAAATACAATCAACTAGCTGTAACTTGTTTGACTTAACATTAGCTAAAACTAGTTTGTATCTGGTTTTACTTTTATAAGTATTCAGTAAATATTTTTTAATTAAAACAAAAATGCGAGACAAAGTACATGACATGTGTCGTGCATTTTTAGGTGGACAGTGGGATCATATATCCAGCGATGAGATAGTTATTAAAATACTCAGGTAAGTGTTTTACATGAAATTATATTCATTCTTAAAGTTATTAAATATTGCATTAC